TATCTTCCATTGTTGTCCATTTCTTTGCTATTATGAATGTCATTGTCTATAAATAAAATAATGTGCATCAGGGTCAGATTTACATACTCTACTTTACTCTACTGATCTAGATATATGTCATTTCACGCACAAACAAGACCCCTATACCTGTCAATGAGCAAATGCTTGTATTGTTATAAGTATAGTTTTTCAAGGACATTGTTACAACTATCAAACAAATATAACTCAGTACGCCATAAAATATTTAATATGTATAACCCACTCACAAGCACTACACGTACTACTCCTTTTCCTGTTATTTTATTGCCTTCACCACTGTGTTCCTGAAGTATGTACAAGATTATTGCAATGTTTCCATATGCTTTGTTCCTTTTTATCGCTAGCGTTCTCTGTTTTTCTTGCTCAATCCCTTTCTCACATATGATTTGCTGCATTTTAATTTATTGTGCACTTTACACAAATTCAATTGTTATTTTGTCAATTATTTTTATTTCCAAGTGTCATCAGACCAGACTAGACTAGACCAATACGGTCAATTAAAGTAAAATGGGGAAGTAGAATCATTTACCAATTATGTTGTTAAGCTTTACTGTTCACATATTTGCAGAATAATGGAAAAAGGGGCATATAGGGATAATGGGGATTTTCAGAAGCAAAGCTAAACTTTGTTGGAATTGAATGCAGTATATCCCTACCAACACTCCCCTCCTCCAGCTACCCTCAGTCAGGAACAATAATTGTGACATGTCAGTTACTGCATTATTTTCTTGCCATATTCAAACAGTCCAACTAAATAATTTGAAAGTAATTAATTAAAAACATAAACATTGGCTACTGTCGGTTACGAAAAAATACAACGGGGTGGGTCATCACAAGATACACAAAAACACGTAACTGTTTATTATTTAACTGTCAGTTAGCCTGGAAAACTTCCAGCGCTCCTATTAGCAACAGCGCACGTGCAAACGTCTATGTATGGAATTTCCCCATTTTTATATTGATTTGAGTTGGTGTCTTCTTGATGTAAATTTGGTTTATAAGCAAAACATAAAATTTTAATTCTTACTTTTTGTTGGCTGGCTGCTACGCTCAAATTATCCACTAACCAAATCGTAAATTCGCTGACACAAAATCATTTTGGAGCACCACATAATGAGAAAAAAGCCTGCCGACAAACATATGGTCTGGGTCAATTGAATCACTGTTTCTGAAATAGCCAAATATTTTTTGCTGAAAAGCGGCGCAATGGCTTTCAAACAAACACAAAATACAAATTAACGCTAGTAAGCAGCAAGCACTCTATCAAAGATATACTCACGCGGAACTGAGATTATTTGGTACTTTCCAAATGCCAGCAAAGGCAATGGCATTTGCAACTGAGGGCAATTAAAAAACGGTGCAAAGAGGGCAAAGTCGCCAGTGAGTTTGCCTTTGTGGATGCGAAAAATGGAAGTGCTAAGGATAGAGACAAAGAACAGGGGGAATGCAAATGCAACAGGCGTAGCAACAAGCCAACTGATCGCCGGAAATGCTACGTATCCCCGCATGGTGGTGCGCGGATGGTGGGAATGTGTTTGTGCAAAAGGCGTGGGTAGAACACAGGGCGCCAGTGCGGGGGTTAGCTACTGCAAAGCATGCGGGTCGAGTAGGCTGGCAAATGGAATTGGTTAGAAGCAACAAGATTGGCTGTAAAAAGCTGGTTGGCAGGGGCGTTTAGCTCAGTGGTAGAGCGTTCGGCTGCAGTCCGATTGGTCTCCGGTTCAAATCCGGAAGCGCCCTCTTTTTGCCCTCAGCTATGTATTCCCCCTCTTTTTTACATGCAGGACCGCCGTTTATTATTGGCAAGTGATATGCCGCGCGACACTGTCTACAGCCGTCCTGAGCAACATTGCCAATGTCTTTTGTCTTTTTATGCGACAGAGACCCCCAAAAAGGGGCGACCAATGCTTTATCCAAACAACAGACATGGCAGTGGCTATATTACCAATGGGGAAACTGCAGTGACACCAGTGGCATTGGCTACAGAGCGTTTGGGAGCTTCAACAACTTGTTATATTGCAAAATACACCGACAAGCCAGCGTTGATGACAAAAGAGCCCAAGCGCAAACCGAAAGTAATGGATAAGGTGCAGATCGACTTGGACAACACCAAGGTGCCCAAGCATGTTGGCGACGAGCCCGCTCGCAGCACATCGACTTATTTAATTGTCCGTTGGTCTAGAAAATACAGATGCCAACTATTGAGACACCATAAAACAGAAGAACCCTGCTGATCGAGTCGCCGAGCGGCATATAATTGTTGTGTTTTTTGAAGACGAGTCGCTGAGTAGCATGTGATTGTTGTCTTTCGAAGGCGAGTCGCTGAGCGGCATGTAATTGTTGTGTGGAGCGCTACGAAGGATTAGCCCTCATTTTTATTGCCAAAACACGGTGTGCCGGTCGATGAGTGGGTGCCCGGTTGTCAATGCGCTTGTACGGGTTGGTTTAATGCAGCTAAACTATTTTGAAGCCTGGATCAAAGACGTTCTATGGACCAAACCTGTTGCAGAAAAATCCACTGACAGCTCATCAGCAGCATTCTCTCCTTGCCGTTCATGCTTGTCGAGAGACTCTCTTTCTTTGAACTGACACGGATCTTGTGGGTGGCTCGGGTTAATGTTTCTTGTTCCCTTCCACGAACCCTGTTATGTTAAAAATATATATTTGAACAAAATGAACTAAAAGAAAACTAAGGGATGAACACCCTCCACTGTTCATATTCATTAGTATTTATGTGTGCATATGAATTCCCGCATACCCAAGTAGGGAATTAACTAGCGATTGATTCATTAATCAATCGCCGGAGACAAGCCGCAATTTCTTGTATCACAGCTGGAGCGTAAACTGTATTACAAAATGCTTTATAGCTTGCTTATCCACAGCTGGAATGTATTCAATCAATGTATCTGGTTGGTTTTGTATAAACTTGCCATTGTAAACTTTTTTGCCCATCTGGGGCCATACGACTTGCTTACCATATATGTTGCTATTACGCCTATGTACTATGTTTATCCGTTGTATTGGCTGCTTGAGCCAACGACGATCAGCGCTCTTGTAAATAATTATAAAGGCGCACAATCACAACAATAATTGTTGTGATTCCGGGCTTCTCCTTCCTGGATTTTTATTTAGTACTGAAATAAAGTCATTTTATACACCTGAATTTCTATCGGCTTAAACGTGCGATAAGCTTGTGAATTCGTCAAGCAAGTCCTTGGGGTCATATCTCTTGATTTGGGTACTCCAGAAAGGGTCGTTATGAATATCAAATTTGTAAACATCAATTGGGTATGTGTTTTGCCTTTGAAAGATCTACCGCTGAAGCCAATTGCCAAATATGACCATGGAGCCCCGCTAATTGATTTTGGCAGTCCCCGCTTTGGTTTATGTTTGATTGCTGAAAAAAGCAGAGACAAAGCCTATATCAGTGATTTTAAACACGTAAATATAAAACCGATTAGGACGGACGATTACAACGGTTATGACTATGTCACCTCAGTTTATCTGGGCATGCGCTGCATAATCAAAGTGCCAGACAACTTGGCTTAAAAAACTTTGGCATATAGCTGTGTATTCATTTAATATTTACTTAAATATACGGTACCATTCCGTGTGTGACAAGAAAATCTGAAATAAAACAATGTTTTAAAGGCACACCGCAATGGTGATAGTAATAATGTTGTTAAAAGCACGTTTGGCGCAAACACACAAACTCTTTATTGCTTTAGGTTAAGACGGGCTGCCCGTCAAAACTCAATTCATTTGTACGCATTTTAAAAATTTTATTTGCGCAGAAAAATGTGCTAAACTAAAATAATTGCAATAAGCACATGCTATGCTGCAGCAGGAATAAAAATGTGTTTTGGCTACTTTTAACCATTAAAAATACAATGCAGAACAATATACATGTCTAAAATGCAGGCCACTGCTCAACCATGCAAGGAAATTGCAACCACATGAGCTTTTATTCTCACAGAACCATTTTTCACATTCAGCAGATTCATTGTTTGACTGCGGCTTTGGGTCTATTTGTAAAAGATGTCCTATTTGCATATTGCATCTGGAATAACATGTTCTTAAAAATATGCTGGACGTTGACGAGTGTATTGAATACTAGACTAATTTATATTCCGTAGAAACCTAGAAAAGAAAAGAATGCTCACAAAGAAATATTATTTTTCCCTTTTTATGACTACAAGTCTTAGTGCTCACAAAGAAAAGGGCAGCTGATGGGCATTGGGCTAAAAAGGAAATGTGTGCCCAACAGTACATGTGTTTTTGGATGCCAAATTCTCATTCTAGTGTAGTGATGCGTGTATACCAACAAAATAGAGAAAGCCCAACCACTGGTATGTGTCTTCTGCTTCTTATTCTCCCACCACATTTTTCACATTTATTTTATTTACTTACAGCTTGTTGAAACATCACCCATTAAAAAACTTCATATTATCATCTTTTCAAATTACCAACAAATGGCAGCTAATTTTATTGCGGCAAACGCTAGCGTCGCAATTGATATTGTTGTGTCAATGGCCTGCCTTATGGCAATGTTTAATGCCAAATCAACCAGGCGCAAAACATTGCCCACGCCTGCATTTTCACTGATTGCATTGGGCATTGCCAATGTGGCACTTGTTGTAATCCAGAGCGTGTCCATCAGCTCAGTTGTTTTTACTGCTTCTTTGTCTGCTGCAGTCTCGCTGACAGCATATTCGGCATTTTGCCACTATTTGGGCGCAGCCAGCGGCAGCAATGCACTTGCCTGCTTTCATGTGGCCAGAATTTACCGACTGGGCCAATCGCCGCTGATAATGACCCTGCCAGCAACCGCAGCCAGCGCAGCAATTCACCTTTGGCTCGCGTGGTATGCGTTGAATTCGCAGTTGAAAAGCAACATTTTGTTCCATCTCAAGGGCATTTGCGCTCTCGATGGGTTTGTTTTTGCCAGGCTCATGCGCAGTGGTGGCCTTTCTATTGAAGATTTGCGCAACCGCAAGTTTGAGAGCGAGTTTAGCGAGCACAGTAAAAGAGCAGTGTTTGACCCATTGCAAAGGCAATTCTTCTAAAATAAAATACATGCTAAATGATATATTTGACCAACTACAATTAGTTTGTTCTAAACACACCAATATCTTATTACTGTATTTTTTGTGCACATAGGTTCTTTGTCATCCGCGGCCTTATTGTAGCCGAATGGAAGGGTATTGTCGGTGTGCTTGTTGCCAAAACACTAGTTAAAATGGCTACTCACTTGCGCCGGCTCATGTTTGTTAGCATTATTGCAACTATCGGCAGTCCGGGTGCAATCGACTACCCGAGCTTGGCCATGCTTCTTGCTGTCTGGCAGTTGCTGTCGCTCACCACTCTTGCTGATAGATATATTATACATTTTCATGAGCTGATATCTGAAAAAATTCTTGCGCTTGTATATTTTAAGGCACAAGAGTTGTACATTACGGCATATTGCAAATTTTTTAGAGAGTATAAATTTTATAGCTCAGCTTATAAGATCTCAGCAACAACCAAGACCCTTATAGACACCTTCAGCTCGATGCTTGCTCAGCTTTTCAATGTTTGGATCATATCTCGACATATCGGCTGGTGTGCTGTCATTCCAGTTGCCATCACTCTTGGCCACCAGCTGATTGCCCATCTGGTATCTGCAAATATCGAACATCTGAAAAGGCTAAACCAAACGACCAGGATGCCCAGGTTTCAGGAAGACTATGACACCATATCTAGAAATATTCGCACAATCAAGCTCTATGCCTGGGAGAGGACATTCATGGGCGCTATGGCATGGTTGGATTTGCCAGAATACACACCGCCAATATTTTGGTATGTGCTGGAGTATATAATTAAAGTTCTTGGGTCCTCGGTTTCGCAGATTTCCGCTGCATCAACAATCATTATTTTCTTCAGCATGTCCAGTGATCCAATGTCATATGCCACTGTTGCACTGCTAGTGGACTCAATCGACTCGCTCATTCGATTTGCCAAAACAATTGGTACCACTGGACAGGCACTTATTGACATCAAGGAGGGTGTGGCTTTTATGCAGACACTTGTCGATGCTCAGCATACCAAAATTATTGCACATGTGTCAGAGACATCCAAGGATGGTGTTGCAGTAGAACTTGACAACTGTGCTTTCAGCTGGGGTAAGAGTAAGTTTGGATTGGATCCGATCACACTGTGCATCAAGGCTGGCGAGTTTGTAACGATAATCGGATGCATTGGCAGTGGCAAGTCGTCATTACTTTCAGGGCTGTGCGGCGAGATGCCTATCGTCAGTGGACATGGCCGCATGTGTGGAAATATTGGCTATGTCAGCCAGAAACCATACATTATGAACAACACCTTCCGCGAGAACGTGCTCATGGGTGCTGAGTATGACGAGAAATGGATGCATCAGGTGCTTGAAGCCTGTGCTCTGTCCGAGGATGTCAAGCAGTTTGCAGCTGGCGATCTGTCAGAGATTGGCCCTAATGGCATTAACCTGTCCGGCGGTCAAAAGGTCCGACTGGCACTAGCGAGGTAAATATTGGATATTCACAGCAAACATGTATCATACATCCAACATATGCAGGGTGTAGAATATGTATTTTGTTGCTAATTATTTTGCATAATTATTTTGTAGGGCGCTGTACCTAAAAGCGGACGTTTACATCTTTGACGACTTGCTTGCAGCTGTTGATGCACGAGTCGAGCGCCTCATTGTCGAGCGTGTTTTAGCATCTGGCGGCATCATTGGCAATAAAACGCGTATTCTAGTCACCCATGCTGATCATCTGGTGCCACTGAGCAGCAAGGTTGTCACGCTTGCTGAGGGGCATGCTGTGATTGTTGAGCAGCAGCCGGTTGGTTTTGTGTCTGCTGTCAACACAAATGAGCATATCTCTGATTCATCGACAGAAACTGCTTCAGCCAGCAATGCCGACACCAAATCTGGCAAGTTTACCATTCACCCCGAGCTGAAGGATCCACCGTTCAAGCTGTGGCAACTGTGGAGGTTTATCAAGCTCAGTGGGTATGGGACTGTTGCTATTGTGGCCTTGATCCAGCTTGCCAATGCCTATGTGATATACTACGTCGAAAGCCTGCGAATCAGCCTTATGGTCAACAGCAATCCTGACACAATGCGCCAGTCAATGAGCAGGTACTTAATTGTCAATGCATTGGTGGGAGTTGTTTGCATGCAGCTAAATTATTTTGAGGCGTGGATCAGGAAGGTTTTGTGGACCAAACGTGTTGCAGAGAAAATGCGTCGCCAGCTTATCAGCAGTATTCTCTCACTGCCACTCACACTTGCTGAGAGACTATCTTCCTCTGACCTG